AACGCCGAACCTGCCAGGCAACGTATTACCATTGGTGGACGGAAGGCCCCTCCCCTTCTGTGTTACTGTTCAACCAGCCAATCGTATGTGGAGTCTCTACCCCATTGGCTCACCCCCCCGCGAGACACTGCGCAGTGATAGAACACAATACACCTTTCCTTACGAGTCTTGGGTTCGAGCATCCATCATTTAATGATTTCATGAAACTGGTACGGTTGAAAGGTTGACTGAAAGGGCGCTCACTGATAGGGTATGTCTACGAACCTAGTCTATTTCCCTGAAGGGACTAAGGAAAACCATGTATCTGCCAATGTCTTGCTTGGTTTACTCTTAGTCCCTGAAATTCAAGGCGGTATGTTAATTTCAGGCTCCCTCCGAACTACGCGGGGCCATCCGCTGTGAGAACCTCAGATCTTCAGAACAAGAACCCATTTGTTAAATAATAATAATGATATCCGCTGTCCGACGGTCGGATTCGAAGCGAGCGCCTCCAGAATACAGTACTGGAGTGCTAGAAGCAACATTATCCTGCTGAGTATAGTAATTCCTACTGCAGTTGTGAGTAGAGGGAACACATCACGTCAGTAAAATAGGGTTCAGAAGTGGGACCTGTGTACTGTAATTTTGTCACACTTGTCTGTATGGAACTGTACCGCCAAGGTGAGGCGGCTTGTGTCACTGGCCCACGCAGGGGCCGACCCTGTCTCATGTGTACAGGCCACTGCTTGCTGCTGTATCGCTATGCATGTTATAATTCAAAGTTAGTAGCAGTAACGTGTAAAACGTAAAACTATCCCTGTATCAGACCGTGAAGGCCCATAGGGTTGTGAGACGTCGTGGCTCCTATTTCTGGACAAGCGGCTCACAGATGGCGGTGAGGTTGTTAGCCTTACGTGCTGGTCGACCCCAGGGCCATAGTGCGACTGGAAGGATTAGGTCAACTGAAAAATTCAATGAGGTCTTCGGGAATCGAACTCGCAACCTTCCGCCTTATAGCATGGTGCCTCAACCAACTGCGCTACAGCGTACCCCCGGTAGTTACGAATAGTAGCTGAAAATGGCATAATATTTCCTGTTGTCTCATATCAAGGGGAATGCGTGAACCGAGAGAGAATTCTGTCTTGTGTAGTATGTTGGAAGTCGACCGACGTTTCGCATGAACGCGTCGCCTCCATCTTCAGGGTCGAATAATATGTCAAACAAGAGACTAGAGTGAGAATAGGTGTTCCTCCGAAACGTCTTTTAACCTTGAACGGAGTATGTGGATATGTGTTCCAGGAGATAGAACTGCTCACAAGTACCGCTGTGAGAACCTCAGGTGCCACATAGACACAGGGTGTTTCAGAACAGAGTGCTGAGTAGAGTTCCCAGGTGAGGAGCTGCATAACTTGGACAACTCAGCTTGATCAAATCAAGGAATGTATGGGGAAAATGAGAAGTGAATATAAAGTTATGGTAAGGAAGCCTGAAGAAAAGAGACCACCAGGAAGACCTAGACGTAGATAAGTGTGCAGAATGGATTCATCTGGCTCGGGATAAGGACTATTTGATGGCTCTTCTGAATACGGTAATGAACATTCTGGAAGTTTATTGATTGACTAGTCTGCTGTTTGCTTTTCGGTAAGGGCGCAGCATCATGGGGTTAGTTAGTTAGTCAGTTAGCACAAAATACGAACGATAGAGAGCAGTGGACGTTATATTTGTATCGGCATTTCAGTGACTGATTTTTCTAGATCCAGTTTTAGGAATTTCCATACGTCTGCAAGCAGGACTAAAAATATATCTTTCTCGTCCATTTCGAGACATGGTTGTCATAATTACGTAAAAGATGATTTACCAGAAATCTTGAGAGGGCCAGCAGTAGCATAGTTGGTTGAGGCTCTTGCTACAAGTCGGAAAATCACGGGTTCAATTCCCGAAGATGTCATTGGATTTTTCAATTGACCTAATCCTTCCAGCCGCACTATGGCCCTGGGGTCGGCTCAGCCTTTAACAGAAATGAGTACCAGGAATTTTCCTGGGGGTAAAGGGCGGCCAGTGCGTAAGGCTGACAACCTCACCGCCATCTGTGAGCCGATTGCCTAGAAAATGTGGAAGCCTCGACGTCTCACAACCCTATGGGCCTCCACGGCCTGTTACAGGGGTAGCTTTACCTTTTCTCTTGTACCAGAGATGTTACCTCCAGACCGATCTTCAGCCTGACACGTGTTTACTCGCATATGTAGACTCCTATAGACACTGCTGTGTAGTACTAAGTGGGCCTACGCTCTAGCCCTGCGTCTTTTAAGGACCTTATTTGCTTCGTACGTAAGGCTATGAGGACACTGCTGAGGCTCGTGTAGACACGCACACACGCACACACACGGTCCTCGGAATCCCAAGGGAAGTTTGTGAATACGAAACTGCAAGGTAAGCGCTCACGAAGAAGACCAAGTTTGAGATGGAACAGCTTGTTAGGAAAGATGCCACAAAGAAGGAAGGATGAAAGGACATGGGAGGAAACTGCTGGAGGTGTCATATGGGGTTGCTTGGTTGCTAGAAGACCCACGTAAAGGTTGTAGCACTGCAGGAATGAAATGAAGGCTGCGTCAACAGTTGCGTCGTGACGCCTTGCAATTGGGCCAGCTTGTGGCTGGTCGGATCGGAGACGCCGGCTGAATAAGTCGTACTTCTGAGGTGGGAGAATGAAGTATGGTTTCAGGTTCCGTCGCCTCCTCCAGGGTGGCCCGCCAAACAGATCGATGAGGCAGCCTGACCTTTCTGGTGCAACAGGGGAGTTCCCGCTTTCCTTAGAGCTCGCCTCGCGACCGCCCGTCCCGTGCTATCGTCTGTTCGGTCCCTTCCACCGAAATCGCGCAGATGATGCAACAAAGAGCCGAGAATTTGAAGTAGCTACATAGCTATGTGCACTGGGTCGGGTAATTCAATCGTTGTGAGGCCTGCTAACTTATGGCTGGAGAATCCGTGTTCGATTCCCAACAGGGTCGGGGGCCTTAGTTAGTTAGTTATTTAGAGAGGGTGGGTTTCCCCATGCACCGCGACCAGTTTGATCTATTGTGCTTCCCTCTATGATATTCTACCAGTCTCTATACCCTACCGATAAATGGTGCGTACCATCAGTCCCGCCGAGCAAGCGAGTTCGGCCACTTGCTTAGCGGTGTCTATAATGCTTCCCCTATCTATCAGAGGCCTTAGAGACTATTGTTGGGCGGGAAACGTCCGTAATTTGGCTTAATGATCCCCTTTGGGGATAGGTTCTTTTACGTGCCGTAAAGTTACGACACGGGACACACAGCTTAAAGTCCCTCCCGGAGGACTTGTTCCCTGAATTTTTCCGCCCTTAAAAATTCGACGACCTCCGCCGGGTATTTGAACCCGCGTACCACGAGTCATGAGGTGGGAACGTTACCTCTAGACTACGGAGGCCGCTGTCGGGGGCCTTACTCTATTCCACAACATCCAGACCGTTTCAGGGGGCCCACACAACCTCCTATTCAATGGATACCGGTGGTAAATATGCCGGGGCGTGAAACTGATCACTCACCTCCAACTAGTGCTGACGTCAAGAAAATATGGATCTATACATCCACTCCCCCATACGCCTTCATGGCGTAGTGGTTTACCTTTTACGCATCTTCCTATGCAATGGGTATATGAGCTAACAAGACCCAGGCGTGAAGCTGATTAGTACTGAAGGTTAAGAATGTGTGGAACTATACCTCGATGACGTGGCACATATGCAAGCATAGGGACAGTTCGAGCCTCACTCGTCACACGGGTTGCCTAACCTCAGGAACAGCGCATAAAAAGGATTTTCGCCTGAAATGTACACGACGCAGGAGCAGTGCATCTGGAGGCAAGGCCGCTCCTCTGCTTAACTGAGCGACACTCCACGGAGGCGTATGGGGGAGCAGAGGGCCTCGCCATAGCTCAAGCGGTTAGCCGCCTGGCTTCCCACCGGGTCTGGTCAAGTGGGATTTGTGGTGGACAAAGTGGCGCTAGGGCAGGTTTTCTCCGAGTACTTCGGTTTCCCCTGCCAATTTTCATTCCACCAATAGCTCCACAATCACCCTGACCTATCATCTGGGGCCGGTACAGTAGGCCAGAAGTGGCCGCAGTACAAGGGACTTAGTCCCACCCCACCAACAATAAAAAAAAGGGGACGCGGAGGTGCTGCTCTACTAATTCCTAACCTCTGCGCTAAACGGAGGTTAGAGATCAGCTTCGCTCGTCGGCCACTTCAAATTCGAGGAATGGAACCCCCGTACGAATTAGGCTCCAGAGCCGGTCTGGATGCTGTGAAACTAGGCACTATATCATGATGGCATGTAGGGGAGTGGAGGTATAGCTCCACCATTCTTGACGTCGGCATTGATCTGGATGCTATGAAAAAGAAAAATTAACTTCATTATCCTTGACGGAATTCGAACTCAGATCCCACGGCTGTCGAGCCCGTGGTCTAGTGGACTATACCGAGTGATCTAGCCCGGTTTTCACATGATGTTAACACAAGATTATCTTGCCCACATCAGATGGGCTGTCATGGTATCTAGGCCCACAGCTCGGCCCCACTTGAACCAGAATGTGGTACAGTCTGTCTCGCGTTACAATTTTAACTCGCTATACTGCGTTGTCCGTTCATTTTCGTGTACTCTGCAGGCCCGTTCCTGTTAGTGTAGAGGCTGTCAGTCGCGGGATTCCCTCCGCGGCGGCCCGGATGGGATTTGTGGTGGACAAAGTGGCGAGTGCTTCGGTTCCCCCTACCAATTCTCATTTCAGCAACAGTAACCATCCTGTCATCGCACACTATTTAGGTCTCGTCGTTAAATAAGCAAGTCAAATAACTGTGTCGAGGGGTGCAAGTGGAGGTCAGGTGTTCTGGCGCACGCGACGGTGGGCGTGGCGAACTACTGGGCGGGGCACTGCGCACGCGCCCTGCATCACACGGGGAGGAGGCTGCCCCGACGTGACGCGTCACTTGACGTTTCGTACAAACACAAACAAGTCGTGCTGCAGAATGAGGGGCTGAAGATTCCTTGGCATGTCTGGCCCTGTACTGTGTGGTGTATGCGGTGGCCTGCGAGGGATATGAACCTGGTGCCTGACCAAGAAGTGCCAGCCTCAGCGGCCGACGTCAGCAGAAGCGTCGTAAGTCTCTACTCTGACGTACACTCATCACAGTTTGCTGTTGTCGTGTGGCAAGGTTCAGACTTTCGAGGTCCACGGTATTTTTTTTATTGCTAGTGGGTTGGGACTAAGTCCCTTGTATTGCGGCCACTTTTGGCCTATTGTACCAGCCCCAGATCATAGGTGAGGGTGATTGTGGAGCAATTGGTGGAATGAAGATTGGCAGGGGAAACCGAAGTACTCGAAGAAACCTGTCCCAGCGTCACTTTGTACACCACAAATCCCACTTGACCAGACCCTGGATCGAACCAGGGCCGCTGCGGACAGAAGCCAGCGACTAACCGCTTGAGCTGTGGCGTGGCCAAAGATCAGACTAGGTCCGGGAAATGCCTGCTATTTTTTGGTTCAGAATAATATGCAGTCCCGTCTGTTATTTAAAGCATAAAGATAAAATACACAAAAAGTGCACTAATTCTAATAATTTTTTATATGGGAGTAAAACTTAGACTCATATTAAAAGCTATACAGATTGAAATTCTTCTGAATAATATATATATATATGTTCAGCCCGTACCTCATAGGAAACACATTACGTCTCCGCTACAAAGCCCAACCGGTTAATGCTGTTTAGGGACACAGTCGCTGTTTATTGTGAGAACCGTACGGAACACACAGACACTCTGTGGGCAGAATGCAGTATATATAAGAATTCAGTCCGTACCTCACAGGAAGCACATTACGTCTCCGCTACAGAGCCCAACCGGTTAATGCTGTTTAGGGACACAGTCGCTGTTTATTGTGAGAACCGTACGGAACACACAGATACACTCTGTGGCCATAACGCAGAGTCAGTACATTAAAGCTGGTGGTATACGAGTATATAGTAACGGGTAGGCTTTAAAAGGTCAAGGGAAGAATGTTTTTATTTTTATTTATTTGAAGGGTCGGGTGAGGCCGAGTTGGCTTGGTACTTCGGAAAATATTGGACCTATTTTACCGGCCTCGGATGCTAGATTAAGTATGGAGCAGTCGGTGAAATAAGAATTGACAGGGGAAACTGAAATACTCGGAGAAAACTTGCTCCAGTGCCCATCTGTTCACTATGAATCCCACATGAACTGACCTAGGATCGAACCTGGGCCGCTGCTTGTGGGAAACCGGCGACTAGCCGCCTGAGTCGTGGCACGGCAGAGCTCGAGGACCCGTCACTGGACTCTTTCTAACTTTTCGAAAGAGTGTGTTCCTTCCATCTTCAGGGTAGGATGGTAAAAGTAGCAAGTTCCTTCACCGCATACTATTCAGAAAGATAAGTCCATCTGATGTGTGATATCGTGTAGTCTAGTAGACAGGTATGAATGTTTCGGAGGGATCTGCTGCTTCCACGTCCATACCCTGAAGACTGAGGTAGTATATTCCGCCGAAACATTATTACCTCTCTACTAGGCTACTCGAAGAGCCGGGATAGCTCATTCGGTATAGTGATTGGCTGCGGGCTGGCGACGGAGGGGTCAGAGTCTGATCCCTCCGAAACATTGATACCCATTTGCCAGACTACGCGGCGTCACATTAGAAACAGTAATCTCAATAGTGCAGTTCAGTTTTCGCAACGCCAATTTATGAGCAGCTTACATACTCTAACACACATGTTCTCGAGTTATTTCAGTAACAATTATATGAAGATCTTCCGGGGTGTGATATCGTGTAGTCTGGTAGATATTTACCAATATTTCAGTGGGGAGGGAGACCTGCTGCCTTGTTCATGTTCCTATTCCTTCTCACGGGTCTCTGCACCATGTGGATTTGTCCCCAAATTTCGGAATTTCGTCTGCAGGGTCGAAGTGAGAAGATTGAATCAATGTGTTGGGGACAGCATGTAGTTTCGAAACGTCGACAGCACTGCCCATATTCACACGGCAGAAACGCCCAAGAAGAGAACCAACATCAATAGAAAATCATCGTAGAAGCCTAAAATCAATAAACGTGTATTCAGAAACGAAAAGATGTGAAAGCATGACAGCTACAGGGTGTTGTAATTTTTTAAACTGGCTTAAAACTCTACAGGGTGATTCAGTCTGAGGAGACCTCCGATGCAATTACTATATATCGCATAAAAATTTAACGATGAACACGAAGCTTGGCAACCCTACGTGCATTGCAACACTGCCCAGTTCGAGACTTTTTTTTAAATTACTGTGATACTCCCTGCCACTCTGGCTGTAACATCCCCGAACATGGAGCGTTCTGTCGGTTTGTGTCTCCAGGCGGAATTGCAACGCAATTATCTCCACACTTACCGAGGTACGTGCTTGCCAAATTTCGTTTTAATCGGTAAATTTTTGCCTGATTTATAATTATCAGTTCTGGACCATTTCCGAAGGAATCACCCTGTAATATCGACGCATGATAAATCAGTAATTACAGCCTTTGAGTCGCGTCGAATTCTCTGAAATATTCTTACAGACGAGGGGGTTCAACTAGCCGCAATTTATCACCACTATGACGGCGAAATATTACTTTCAACCCGGGTAGGCTGACGAGGCTGGAAACTAAAAGTGAAAACAAATTTCAAGGTACCCCTTGTGTTTATAAGGTTGCATCCTGCTCTGTCTAAAACTGCTAATTTCACTGAACGTGTTAATAGTTCAACCACTGCTCCATATTCGTTCATTGTCCTGTGATTAACGCCATATAGGCTCGATACTAACAGCGTCGTTAAATCATCACTTTTAAAAAGGTTTTTCAATTTACTTAATCCTTCCAGCCACACTATGACCCTGGGGTCGACTCAGCCTCTAACAGAAATGAGTAGCAGGAATCTTCTTGAGGGTAAAGGGCTGCCGGCGCGTAATGCTGACAACCTTACCGCCATCTGTGAGCCGATTGTCTAGAAAATGTGGGAACCTCAACATCTCACAACCCTATGGGCCTCCACGGCCTGTTACAGGGACAGCTTTACCTTCACAGGCAGAGTGTATAGACTTCGTTAATTTGAATGAATCGTGAAATAGGCCCAGAGAAGGACGTTTCGTCCATATTTCTTGAATTTCAGGTTGCAGCGGCCGTGACTATGGAGAGTACGGTCTTCTGGTATGTGACTGCGTGTAGTCTGGTAGAAGTTCACCGATTTTGTGGAGGAACGTACTGCTCCCGTCTTCAGGGTGAAATGATGACCAAAGCAAGCGCACCTCTACTTGTCCGAGTCTTCCATGACTTTAGAATGATCTTACCTTGATCTTGAATACAATTTTGATGTCTTAATCTCGTCCCCAAATATTTTAATTTAACAAAATTGTCAAAGGATTTAATTGCTATGTTTATAAATAGCCGTATACAGAATTTAAATAAATATATGTTACAACGCTCTGTGGTAGAGAGATGGGTTCATTCTGGTCATTTTTTTGTTAGTACACCCATGTCCGGAAACGGTTTGTTTACGCGCTAGGGCCTTTGAAATGTGAAGTAGGACGACCTTATCTCTTGCCTCTGTGGCTTACTGGTGATACTTATCTAACATTTCTCCAAGAGACCTTACCCGAGCTGCTGGGGGTGGTACTTTGGAAATGTGGTTCCAGCATGATGGCGCCCCATTACACTGCACTAATGTCGTCCGTGAGTATTTGGAAGAAATTTTTGGCAACAGAGGGATTGGGCGTGGAGGCCCAATAACCTGCCCCTCGCTCCCCTGAGTTGACTTCTCTGGGGGTACATGCAAAGCCTGGTGTACGGGACTCCGGTGAAGACACAACATGATCTTGTGGCAAGAACTGCAGTAGCAGCTGGAGCCATCCCGGGAAATGCCAGGAATCTTGTGGCAAGAACTTCAGTAGCAGCTGGAACCATCCGGGAAATGCCGGGAATCTTGTGGCAAGAACTGCAATAGCAGCTGGAACCATCCGGGAAATGTCGGGAATCTTGTGGCAAGAATTGCAGTAGCAGCTGGAACCATCCGGGAAATGCCGGGAATCTTGTGACAAGAACTGCAGTAGCAGCTGGAACCATCCGGGAAATGCCGGGAGTCTGTCGAAGAGTTCAGCATAACATGGCCAGGCGGTGCAGCACATGCAATGAAGTCTGCGGTCGCCATTCTGGACAAATTTTATAATGCAAAACAACAATAACTTCCCCTAAAACTTATGCATTGTCTCGGAAACTTTTGTGGCCCCTAGTGCCAGAAGGAAGCGTTTCCGGACATGGGTGTACTAACAAAACATGATCAAATTGAACGCATCTCTCTACCACAGAGCATTGTAACATGTATTTATTTACACATGTTTACATGTTAGCTTGACGTTCTTTGTCTTTATTCTATGCCAATGGGAGTTATAGTGTATTTATTTGTATGCTCCCATTTCTGTACATGTCGCCGCATTGTGAACACCAATTCATTCGACAACATTTCGTTCCAGATCCCCGCTACCTCGACATTCCATCGGTGCGGTGTCACCCAGGGACGAGCTATAAAAATTCGTCCTACTGTTGCGTGAGCCTATCGCGGGGTGTTTATTGAGCCGTTGCCTAGCAATACGTTGGCAAGTCACAGTACATTTTTGTTGACGAAAGTGTGTACGAATAATTTATCTGAAAAATATTTGTAAATTTGTGGGTGAATGTAGCTACTGCAGACATTTTGTTCGCAATATTGGCTGTGACAAATCGCTCGTGACAGTGAATGTGGCACTGCGTTTAGTTTCGAGTATTTGTATAGGTTAACACATTTACTGTTGCGAAGGCCTGGCCGCCCTGCACCTGGACTGGGTGTCACAGACAGTACGAGACGTAACAATGCACGTCGCAAAGCAAACAGCACACAATTACGAAAATCGAACCGCGCCTCCACAAGATCTGGGGGAGGGGGAGAAAAGTTTGCCCCAATTTGTCTTTCTTTTCTACCGACCCACATTCGCACCCGGAGTAATAGAAAGAACACAAAGGGCGGGAGAAGGCGTAGCAATTAGTGTAACGATGTTACGACACAAGGAAACGCGGTCTTTGTCTCGCCTATGTGAGAGACTTGGGCCGGT